GGAACCACTGCCTGCTCCAGCACTTCCAGCCGATGATGCAGAAGTGCGGGTGGAGAAGGAAGCCCCTGCTCCCAAGCCACAACCAGTGGTTAAGGAGCATGTACCCCAGCTTCCCTTCCCCACTCGCCTACACAAGGACAAGCTGGAGACTGAGTTTGCCAAGTTCATGGCAATGTTGAAGCAACTCAACATCAGCATACCGTTCATGGAGGCACTGTCGAAGATGCCCAAGTATGCCAAGTTCATGAAAGATATCTGCACCAACAAGAAGAAACTTGGGGATCTTTCGACAGTGATGCTCAGTGAGGAGTGTTCTGCTATCCTGCAGAACAAGCTGCCCGAGAAGCGCAAGGATCCAGGGAGTTTTACTATCCCTCTTACTATTGGCAGCATGCATGTAGGAAAGTCCTTGGCGGACCTAGGCGCTAGCATTAACGTCATGCCATATAAGTTGTATAAAATGCTAGACCTAGGTGAACTTAGCCCTACTAGGATGAGCATTCAGTTAGCTGATCGTTCTATCGTGCATCCTAAGGGTATCATTGAGGATCTGCTTGTTAAAGTAGGTACATTCACATATCCTGTTGATTTTGTTATTCTTGATGTGCATGAGGATGTGGATGTGCCTTTGATTCTAGGTAGGCCATTTCTTGCCACCGCCAAGGCACTTATTGATGTGCATGATGGTAAATTGATCCTGCGTGCTGGGAATGAACAGGCTACTTTTTTTGTGACTGAATTTGATCACTGTGCTATGATTGCTGTCACCCCTGTGCATGCCATTTCTGACCAGGTACACGAGCCTGTCGTGTATCCTTCTGCACCTCTCATTTTGCAGGACCCTCCTATCATTCCTTCGCCGCCACTCCATCCAGTCTCGCCTCCGAACAAAAAGCTCAAGGAGGAGTGGCGGCCGAAGCCGCAGGTTGCTAAGCCTGCACGTAAGAAGAGTGGAGACCACTATGAGCTGGTCCCACCTCCTGCACCACGACCACCCTGGCCGTCTGGGTACTCACTCGCCTGCATCTTGCCAGACGGGCAGGTCGAGCTGACTGATGAGGGTGGTCGCATCCGTCGGGTGCAAGGCCACAACCTGAAGCTGTACCTCAAGAGCGACGTGGATCCGCTCTTGGAGGCACCTGTTCCTGCACCGCCCTGAGTATCCACCATGGGCGTCCAGCTAAAAGACGGTAAAGAAGCGCTTGTGGGGAGGCAACCCCACCTCGGTTTGATTTTCTTTCTTGTGTTTTGCGTCGGATTGTAACCCGGTTTGGGTTTGGTTTGGATGATATTTTATTGGGCTGACCATTGAACCTAACATATTGTGTCTGAGCTCCTCTGTTTCCCTTCGGCTGTGCTTGCCCCGACTGGCCCGTTTCCAGTCTCCTGCAGTCCGTGCATACCGGTAACATCGTTCCCTTATCCTTCCCTCTTCTCCATTGAGGGCAATGTCGATCTTAAGTGTGGGGGGGGTGTTTATCTTTTGACTGCATTAGATCTGTTTGTGTGCTTGGAGCCTAGTCCACTGTCCAAATTTTTAAATTTGAGGGCTCCAAGTACGTGTTTCCTTGCAATTGCCTGCTCAGTATGCTTTGAATTGACAGTCTTTATAGTAATATGCAACCTAGGGAGGTAGTGTAGCACTATGGAGGATGTTGATGCATTTAAGGAGTCTCATTTCTTCTTCATATTGAGTTGGTTGATTGAGTGAATTAGTGATCTTAGGACCCTTGAATTGTGTGGTGTTGTGGATTCTCTACCTGTCATGGACTCTTGTATCATGTTTCGAGTTTAACAGGTGCTCGAAAATGTGCTTGAAAATAAACGTCTCCCGTGCGAATAGGGCGAAAGTGTGTAAGGGGAGACGGGAATTCGTTCCCAATTTCCACCTACTACCTCCAGCCCCCTTACATGTCTTTCCCCCGCACGAGGCTCGAGACATCCGCTCCTGGCATGGCCGGTAAGAGTAGGTTGGGACCCTTGAAAAGAAAAAAAAGAAAAGAAAAATAACAGAAAACAAGCAAAACAGAAAAAAAAGGGGTTCCAACCATCTTCAAAGAAAATCGAGCACCTTGAAAAATGTGAGTCCATGATCCTTTGTTTTTGAGAATCTCTCCATCCACGATTCATTTGTCCTCTGTTCACTTTTTGCCATGATGCCGACTCGATAAGAAGCTTTGAGATGACTTGTGCGTCGGTTGACCTCGTAAGCTGCTAAATGACCTAGGAAGTCCTCTACTTACGATCTGTGTTGTTTATTGCTATGAAGGTCTGGAGAGTTGCATTGGTTTGAGTTAGGTTTGCTTGGGGACAAGCAAACGGTTAAGTGTGGGGAAGTTTGATAACGATGTAATTGCACATGTTTGCGCCCCTAGTTCTTATCCGTTTGAGGGCCATAGTCGTGTGTTGTGGCCTATTTTACGCCGGGTTGTGCTATTTTGTCATGTTTCAGGTCCCAGGTGTCAAAGGAAAGGCTAAGCGCGAGTTTCGGGGCATTCGGAAGTCATTTCGGTGAGCTGGAGCCAAAACACGGGCAGCCTAAGGCATTACACGGCCGTGTACTGCTGGCCGTGCTTTTTATGCCGAGAGCAAATTCAGTTTGGCCAATTCAGCTGCAAACACGGGCACCGAAGCACGGCCGTGTTCAGTCAAAGCACGGCCGTGTACATTGCGAAGCACGGCCGTGTTTAACCCACTTGCTGGCCGTGTAATTAAGCCCTGGCCGAGGCACGGGCGGAGTCAGGCAAAGCACGGCCGTGCCCTCGACCGTGCTTTGGCCACTGATGCTTTTAAGCAGAGTTTCAGCCACAATTCAAGGGGATTCGAGTTTTTGAGAGAGAGATTAGTTCCTAGAGAGAGAAAGTGACGAGCAAGAGTTCCCAAGTGCCCTAGATTGATCTTCAACACCATTGGAGGCCAGTTTGAGCTTGGAGAAGTGCTGATCAACGTCCAGAAGCAGGAATCCATCCTTCGCAGTATGAATTCCGTGTCTGATTCTGCTTTTTCTTTCTTCTCCATGGAGTAGTTCTCCCATTCATCTGGGTATGGAGAACCCTAGATTTGTATGTTAGGCTTTGATTGTATGAACCCAAGTACTGATTCTATGATTGATTATATTCGATTGAGGTTTTAATGATTGAATGACTTGAATCCTGATCAAATTCCTGTTGTTTCTGCTTTGACCTAGAATGAGAATATCTGCCTAGGTTGATAGAGTATCCTTGATTGAAGGTAGGGAGTTGGTGACTTTAGTCGAGGAGCCAACTCACTATTCTGTACCAGATTTACTCCGGTAGTGGAGGTTTTGTTCTTAGGGCCTCAATCTGTCGACTCCGGTGGAGGTTAGTCGCCCGCTAGAGAGTCAGATTGAGAGGGTCTGAAGACCTTTAGTCGAGACTTCATGCTGTTTAAGAACCTTCCGCAGTATAACTGTCATAGAAACTGAACTTGGTAATTACAATCCGGCTTAACTGCAGTCTAGGGGGAACCATATCCGGGTGACCTCTTTAACCTGAATACAACAGTTTACTTGCTTTGTTAGTTTGATAGTTTAGACTTGCATGCCAGTTTCATTGCTAGATAACAAGAAATCACTGAGTAGTCATCACATCTAGGACCCGGGTTGATAATTAAATCCAAACCCGCTATACTACGCTTTAGGAAGTGGTTTCACTTGGCCAATTCCTGGAGTGACAGTAGAGTCGAGTCAATGTAGTGCCCGTGTTGATTTTCGATGGGATGAATCTAGAGACGGATATGTGGTGTATGAATTCGTGGGAGGCCACAATCATGATTTGCACTCCACCGACCATACGCACCTTATCAAGTCCAACAAGTGCATGAGTGATGCTCAGAAAAAGATGGCCGAAGCTAATCGCGATGCCAGGATGAGTCTTAGTGCATCATATCAGTTATTGGCTGAATGTGCTGGTGGCTATCAAAATCTGAAATTTTCCAAATCCGATCAGAAGAACCACTTGAACAGTAAAAGGCAAAGGAAAATGGCTCGTGGCGAAGCGACTTATTTGCTTGACTACTTTGAGGACCAATAGGAAAAGCATCCTGGCTTCTTTTATGTTGTAGAGGTAGATTCCGAGGAGAAAATTGCTAATATTTTTTGGGCGGACAGTAGGATGCGTGAAGATTATGCGCTTTTTGGAGATTCGGTCTCCTTTGATACCACCTTCCGAACCAATAAATACTTCCGTCCACTAGGTACGTGAATCACTTTATTGCCTTGATTTGTTTCGACACTCGTTCGGTTATGGATTGTCAGTAATAGTTGTCAAAAGCATGGATGTTTGAATAGAGTGTTGGGTGGTTCAAGAGTTTACTCTTGTGATCCGATATTGACATGGCCTGACAGGATATGTTTTGGTAATAGGACGAATATTTGTATGGCATTATGCGATACTAGTCTGGGTTCTACAGATATTTGTTGACATGTTTTGGGACAATATCAATTCCTAATTCCCTTAAGTTTTTTCGACACTCGTTCGGTTATGCATTGTCATTAATAGTTGTCTTGTGCAGGGATGTTTGTAGGTTTCAATCACCATCGTCAAACTTGTGTGTTTGGTGCTTGTTTGATGTATGATGAGACTACACCGTCTTTTGAATGGTTGTTTTTAGCTTTTAGTCGGTGCATGAAGGAGAAGCTCCCAGTCACTATTTTTACTGATCAGGACGCCGCCATGGCTGCTGCCCTTAGAAAGGAGTGGCCTACTGTGCTTCATGCCCTCTGTACTTGGCACATCCTCATGAATGCGAAGAAGCATCTTCGTAAGGACAAGGCATTTTGGAAGAAGTTCCAAACTCATCTTTCTTATATTTTCTACGACATCGACAGTGAGAGAGAGTTCGACATGGCCTGGAGCACAATGGTTGCTGATTATTTCCCTAATAGTGAAATTGCAGACGGTCACCCATGGTTGGAATATTTGAAGAAATTTCGTCGTCGATGGTGTTCCTTATGGTTGAGAGATCAATTCACAGCCGGGATGTTGACTACGCAAGCCAGCGAGTCATGCAATGCACAAGTGCGACTTTTCTTGAAACCGAAGCATGATTTGGACTTGTTTTTCATTCACTTTAGCATGTATGCAGAATATTTATATGCCTTTCTTTGATATTAGTCCATCTAAGTTTTGGATATGTTTCAGCATTGTCCGGATATTTATATGCTATTGTAAAGATATTAATTTGTGTAGTTGGGATATTAGTATTGGTTTGAGTGGATATTAGTCTGGGCAATTAATTCTTTCTCGTGCTTTGTTAATGTAGTTTGTTGGCTGAAAAAAGACGCAAGGAGACTGAGTCAGACTACAATGGTAAACAATCGGTTCCTTATATTATGTTGGAGGATAGCCCGATCCTACAACATGCGGCAAAGGTCTTTACTCCTAACATCTTCAATCGGATACAAAAGCAGTATTTGAAAACTGAACCCTATATAATGGAGACTCTCTCAGATACTAGGGATGATGGCATGATTGGCTACCTCACATATATGATAGAGGATGGTGAGCGTAGTGATGAGCGTGTCGTTCTCGTTGATATTTCTACGAGGACATTGGTATGCTAATGCAGGATGTTCAGAACTTTCGGAGTGTTATGCCGCCACATGATTAAAGTGATGCGCCATCTTGGAGATTTTGGAGAAGCCAGTATGAGAAGTATTCCAGATCATTACATACTCGAGCGATGGACGTTGGAGGCGAGAAAGAAAGTGGTTGTTGATGTTGATGGTTGTGTTGGTCCTTCAGCTGACAGTGAGAATGATGCGGGAATCGGTATAGCAATGCGGTACCGAGAAACCACTACAATGTTGAATCAACTAGCAAAGAATTTGTCGATGGCCGAGGAGAAAGACTACAATAAATGGATGGGAGTACTCAAGAAAGTGTGCAATGAGGCAAACAAGGCATTGTCAAAGACTATAACTAGCGAGGACAGTAAGTGTATTCACTAATATTATTTGTAAATTGTTGGAGTTTAATATTATTGCATTTACTAAATTTTGTAACATTGTAGGACGGTCTATACCGATAACTGGGCTGACTTTGAAGGAGAAGAGTAATCCAAGGAGAAACGGTAAGGAACGTTACCAGTCTATGAATGAAAAGGAACGCCGTCGAAAGAAACATGTCTATAGGAAGGGAATGGCATCAAATGAAGCGGTCACGCCGGAAAACAATACTCAACCGGATGACCATCTTAGTGATTTGGATGATACTATTGCTCAATGGTAATGAATATAATGTTGGGTTGGTCGAGTGTGATCTATCGTGATCTGATATTGACATGTGATTTCAGGATACGTTTTTGTGTTGAAGTGGATATTAATCAACTTGTAACAGATACCTTTCTGGGCAATATGGATATTTATTAGAAGTGTGGGTGGATATTAGTCCATGCTTCGTGGATATCAGTATTATCAAAAGCAGGTTCAATAGCACCAATGATTACTTCTTTCACTAGCCACATGTGCAAGAACTTAGGCTTGGATAATATATTTAGGGATGGATGCTATTTAGGGTTGAATAATATTTAGGGAGGTTTGACGTTTTGCAGCAGGATAAATATCTGTCTTTTTGTATACTAATTTCCTGGAAGAACAGAAAAATATCCATACTCCCCAGACAAATACCTTCTTTATTTAACCAAATATCAGAAGTTCACAGAAAGATATCCGAAAAAACTAAACAGATATCCGAAACACACAGACTAATATCAATACAGCCCAGAACGATACCCTTCATTTCTTCACGGTCTCCTCGGTGTTGTCTTAATCATCTGACTCTGAAAAACCGGGGAACATAACCTCGTCCCAATCCATGTGAAACCCACACCCGTTATCATTGTCGTACTCGTACATCCGACATCGGAAATACCTCTTCGGTGGGTTGACTCCATCAACAACAAGTCGTTTAGCAGCTCTCCAACCATGGTAACATAGTATAACACCATCATATTCGAACTCATCCACCAAAAACCGGCGCTCTGGTTTAGGAGTCTCTCCAGACATGGATTTTGCTTTGGAAGAAAAGTGAAGAAAAGGAGAGTGGAGGATAGTGAAGGGTTTGTGTATGATTTGTCTTAAATAGACAAATGCAAAAAAGGTAACATGAGTACAGCAGTAGCAAAAAAGATCACATGAGTACAGTAACAAAAGAGGTCACATGTGAAGAGTGAAAGAAGTAATCATTGATACTCTTCTTTTTCCCTTTCCTTTTCTCTTTCTGCATACTCCAATCTTTTGCTTCTTGAATTATTGCATCCTTGTGGCCGTTATAGTTCCATAATAGGAGGTTAGCTGCAATCCGTGTTCGCTGTTCCTCCATATGTTCCGGCTTCTGCCAACTCTTTTTACATTCCACCGGAAGGTGACCCGCCCATAGCTCCATGTAAAGGCAAGCGAATACACCGCAATCATGGTTGCCAAATTGCTGAGGAACGTCAGCAATGCTGAATTCCCACTCATCCAATTGACAATCGACCCCTTGCTCTTTGAAGAACTCTGACACATACTCAAAAATCACTTTCCCCACTGGTCCATGATCCTCCTTAGCCACTCGGGCATTGGGCTTTTGGCTGTCCAGTAGGAAAGTCTTCCTATTCTTCATGTCAGCGACATACACTCGGTAGTGATCATCTCGATACATCGGAAAGAAGATCTGAAACACAATACATTTAGTGAGTTAATCATTGTCTAATATCCTAACAACCCAGATTAATATCTCAACAACCCAGAATAATCTCCGATAAAGAAGAATAAAATATCCTATAAACCGATACCAATATCAAGGAAAGTAAAAAACATATCCAAATATTAAAGACACTTACATAATCACATCTTTCCAAGTTTTCTCGTTTCAGCAAAGGATTATTCTTGATCAAGGCAATATACCCCGAGACTCTCGCCTTGTCCATGGGTTGCTTTTTTATAGCATTAGTGACGGCATAATTCTATTTAGAAGAGACAACAATATCAAATTAGACATTTTCAACATAAATATGATCTAAGTAGTGAAGATAAATACTTACTACATATGTCCACGGGAAGACAATTCTCTTTACCAGCTCCTTACGTTCCTCTTGGGCATTTAGGAATTGCCCGTATACTAAAATTACTTGGAAATGAACCCAACTTTTACGCTTCAATGACAAAATTTGGCAACGGCTAAGCTTGCCCTTTGGAGAACAAAAATGAAAAACCAGGTTAGTAGCCATGAATTTGACATATTGAAATTGGCGATTTAAGAAGGAAACATGACAACTTACTCATCTTTAGCTGTGGTACTGAAGATGAACTCAACCACTTGCAGTGCCGTAGCGTCGAGTTTTGTCGACAGAGACTTTACATACACTGATGAGTCGATTGGGTGGTGTTTTGACCTCTCGAATGCAGGAGTTTTTAAAGTTGCCTTCCATGCTTCTGGTGTAATAGAGTGCATAAACTCTGCCACCTCCTGAGTCATAGGCCTCTCACTTACGAGAATATCATCATCGCTATCCTCTAGCATCCTCTGGCATGCTGCTGCTATAAGCTCCCCCTCTGATGGTGCTGCTTCTCCTTGCGTCAGAACCTCAGTAGAAGGATCGAACACAGTAGTAGTATCCTCGGAAGGTATCTGCAAAACAACAAACAAATATCCACAAATTCAAAACAAATATCATGGCTTTCCAGGCTAGTATCCAAATAAATAGAAACATATATCGAGGAAGCCTAAGCTAGTATCCATAGAACAAAAAACAAATATCCAGGTATAATAGACTAATATCCAGAGAAAACGCAACAAATATCCTGGGAGAACAAACTAATATCCATTGAAAAAGAAAGAAATATCCAAGACTAAAAGACTAATATCCATAGAAAACAAAACAAATATCCTGGCTTTCCAGGCTAGTATCCAAAGAAAAAGAAACATATATCTAGGAAGCCCAAGCTAGTCTCCAAAGAAACGAAACAAATATCCTGGGAGAACAAACTAATATCCATTGAAAAAGAAAGAAATATCAAAGACTAAAAGACTAATATCCATAGAAAACAAAACAAATATCTTGGCTTTCCAGGCTAGTATCCAAAGAAAAAGAAACATATATCCAGGAAGCCCAAGCTAGTCTCCAAAGAAACAGAAACACATATCCAGGAAGAACAGTCTAGTATCCACAGAAAACGAAACAAACATCCAGGAAGAACAGACACTACTGGTATCCTCCAAAATTTACCGTAGTCGGGGATGTCTCTATACTCTCTTCAGCAGCAGCAGCGGTCTGGAGAGCAATCTCCATCACATTCACTTGACCAAAAATGGACTCTGAATCCCGAACCTCCGGATCAACAGCAGGCTCCTCCCGAACCTCCGGATCAACAGCAGGCTCCTCCCGAACCTCCGGATCAACAGCAGGCTCCTCCCGAACCTCCGGATCAACAACAGGCTCCTCCCGAACCTCCGGATCAACAACTGGCTCCTCTCGAACCTCCGGATCAACAACAGGCTCCTCCCGAACCTCCGGATCAACAATAGCTACCTCCACATCAGTACTCGACTCAACAACAGGCACCTCCACCTCATGCTCGACAATTGACTCTGGCTCAACCTCAAACTCAGCACTCGGCTTAACAACAGAGGCCTCAACATCACCCTCGACAACTGCCTCTAACTCCACATCCACCTCAGGCTCGACAACTGTATCTGGCTCCAGAACCACCTCGGGCTCCTCCTGAGTCTTCTCACGTATTCTCCGAGAGTACACGCGGCTGAACATATTCTTGCCTTTCACGATACCCTCCTTTTCCATTTCCCCTTTGGTCACGGGACCCAATTTCGCCAATCTGCCCCTCTTCCTTCTTCGCTTTGGTCGCTGAAAAAACATGAGGCGCCTGTTATCCAACTATTACAGAGTAATATCCAGACAAGAGGCGCCTGTTATCCATAAAGCACAGTGTAACATCCAAACATTTAACAACTGTTATCCAGACCACACAGAGTAATATCCACACAAGAGGCACCTGTTATCCAGACAGGAAAGAATAATATCCAAACGGTGTGCAACTATTATCCAGATAGAACAAAGTAATATCCAAACTCGGATCTCATCATTCGATACAGCAAACAAACTTTTGTTCAAAGCAATCATGAAAAGAAATAGTATCCAGAACCAACAATACATAAAAGTAACCGATCATTAACAAGTAAACAAACTTTTGTTCAGTCATTCCAACATGGCAAATATAACATCCTAACAATAACATTACAACCACTTAAATAGAAGAGAATTGCAAAGTTCAATTGTTTCCTTGATGGCGCATAATGACGACTCTCCAGATACTATCCCGCCTTGTTTCCCATACATCCATCACTTTTTCAGTCAATGACTCCAATGCCTTAAGCTACACATATATTGAAAACAAATTTAGTTCGCTACATACACCCCATGTCTATTAACCCACGATTTTGAGATGCAAAGAGAAGATCTACATACCTCATCGTCCTCAAGGGATTCCAAGTCGACATCCGCCCACCAATCAGTAGCAGGAGCCGAGCTGCTCGATCCTGATTCCCATGACATATTTGCCGA